TATATTCCTTTCTTTTAATAATTTATTAATTGAATCTCTTTTCAGTTTTCCTATTATTTCTCTTGGGAATGATGTTGGGCTGAGCAGCCTGGGAATACAGATGTCGCTTGCTCTTGGTGGAACACCAAGAAAGATGCTGCACTGCTGCTTAATGGAATATTAGTGGCATTGTTCATTCCTTCTTTAGGTCCCCTGAATAGGTATTTTTTTCTTAATTTTGACATGCTATATATTATTTTACTAGCAGAAGAAAAATTTCACCAGCGAATTGTGAAGTAAAACAGTTTATGTAAATAAACTACCGAAAGTCTAGCTATGCCATTGTGCAACATATTAGAAATGAAAGCAAACTTAGTGTGAATATGGGAAAAGATGTTACACAACTGTGCTGCAGTGTTACAACACCATGATGTGTGCTCAAATTAGAAAGAGCAATTGAAGAAGTCTGAATATGCATCAATAACTCTGAAAGGCTGTTATGTTCTTGTTCCCAGAACTGTCTTGTCAGTGAGATATAAAATAGAAATAGGTACAGTCAGTTTCCTGTGCACTGGGATATTTTTCTGGATTACAAAATCTATCTCAAAGTTTTCATTTCTGTTTCAGCTTTGTGGAACTAGTGGAGTTATAATATTTGCATTTGTGTTGGATGTTTTTGATTCCCTTCATGGTTGAAATTTCTGGTTTTGAGTAGACTTTAAATTCACTGTGCTTAGGAAAGCCAGATATTAAACGAAAATAGTGCCTAGAAGGGAGTGGATTATCTGCTAACTCTTAGATTTTAAGCTGTCCTTCATTCCTCAAACAATCTGGGATAACTCTATCCAAAGTACATGGCTACACCTGCTGCAAGAGAATGCTAGGAGGAGAACAAGCACTTCATCTGCACAAATCCATCACTTTGTTACACTCTGCACTTGTGATGTCAGGAGCACTTGGCAGGAAGGGCCAGGTAAGCAACTCTACTACAGGCTAGAGCAGATGTACCAGTAGGAAAACACTAAGTCCTGGGCTGTGTCTGAGGCTTGTCTGAGTCAGGATCTGGATTGCGAGATGATCACTGAGTGCCTAGCAAAATATTTTGCTAGAGATTCCTAAAAACCAGGTGTATCAACAAGCAAGGTCATCCATCTCACAAAACAGTAGGATGGTAGAGACACATTTAAGAGAAAATGATCTGCTGAGAGCTAGAAGATATGCTTTATCAAATCACACTGCTTAATTTTTGCCAGAGATGAGAATCCAGGTTCCATGGATGTGCCAGATTATTGGATGAGCTATCTTGAAAGCCATATCAGAATCTTCCTTCATGGTTTTCTGCTTTAAACAAAGGATTAAATATTCATTGCCCCACAGAGAAAAAAAAGAAAAAAAGGTAACCCTATATTCAGACTGTTGTGGCAGTAAAAGGTGCATCAGCATCAACATCTGAATCTTAAAACTCCACATAGGCTCTGGTAAAATATTGTCACAGATTATGGGAATTCTTCAAAAGATTGTGAATTGAAAAATCGGTCTCCCAGCACTGCTGGAGGATACCATACTAGGATTATTGGGAAAATAAAAATTCTTCTACTCTAGAAATCTTTCTTTTCCCCTGTATTTTCTTTTTTTTCTTTTTTTTTTTTTTTTGAGATGGATTGTGTTTTGTGGATCTAAAACATGCACATGATTAAGATCTCTAAGCAGCTAAGTGCATGCTGATCTTGGTTATTTTACTTGGGAGATTACTTTATGTGGAACTGATCTTTCAGGTCTTCTGCTTTTTGCATTTATTTCACTGAACTTCTAACCTGACATCATCCTTTTTTTCCTCACCAGACTTGATAACGGCTATTCAGTTTCTATACGTAGAATACCAATTCAAATTTCCCTGTCTGTTTTTAGATTTCCTTTGCTTCTTCAGGTTCTCAGGGCCTTTTCCAGAAACTGTTGAAAATCTCCAAGAATGGAGATTACACAGCCTCTCAGGCCAACGGGTGCCAGGGCTTAACTGCTCCTTGTGCATCATTAAAATGAAGCTCAAAATCAAGTCAAAGTTTAAAATTTGCAATTTTGGCAGTACTTACTTAAAAGAGTTAAAGTCATCTGCAATATTCAGAAAATCCAAGTTGAAACTTACCTTCATACCACTGATAAAAGATAACAGAAGTCATGCAACATCCCAATGGACAATAAATCAGTCATACTTGGAATGAAAAACTGGACTATCTTGTTTTACAGAATTATGAGTATTTGAGTTTTTACTCCCAGTTCACACATATTACATGCAGTTTTAAAGATAAGATCTATGTTTAGAGAGCTGCACTTGCAATTTCAATATTCCCTTCTCATAGTATGAGTTTCCCCCCACCCCACTTTTATGGTACATTAACAGTATGATTATAAAAATAGATTTCTCATCCTGCTTTGTCTTTACATTGTGGTTTGATTTTAAAAAGTGCTTTACTTTAGCAGTGAGTACTAAGACTTATTTAGAATATAGAAAGATGAAAATCAGGGCACAGATCCATTTTTAACCTTAAAGATTCTGCTTTGTAATGACTGTAACTGGCACGGTAAAGGGTGGAGAGGTTTGCAAAACCACAGCAACATAGATTCTGTCAGCAAAGGTTTAAATTTTTTTTCTGTCTGTGTAAGTTCAGGACATGAAATAATCACTGAAAGATTATCATACTAAAAAAGCGCTTCTGATAAACTATTTTTAACCTAATCAGCAGTTAGTTGAATGTCTTTCACAGATCTTCCCTTTGCCCAGTGGGCTGGCCCTGTGGTGGTTCACTAAGAAAATAGGATGTGCAGAGATTTTGGTTTGCCACTAGCAATCTGGGGCTCAGAGGAAAAAAAAGCAAGCCATTGACTTCTCAGCAGTTTTCTTGTATAAAAATTCCTTATTAAAAACAAACCTAAAACAAGGTACTATAGATTTTGGACACTGCAATTTTCTTGTATTTCCCATTTAACTTGAAGATATATTGTATTCTTGATTTTATGCTTCAGGTAGGTCTGTAGAAATTCCGAGGCAAAAATTCATTGCTTGTTACAAAGGGTTCAACAGCTTCATTTATGATAAAAAATTAGTAGGGGTGAAAAGGAGTAAATGCAATTGATGCCTATGTGTTGATCCCACTGCCATTTATGACACATAAAGAATCTGTGGTTTTGAAGCTGTTGATTGCAGAGCTCTGCACAGTTGGAAAGAGATCTTCATCAGTTAGGTACTGCCAGGCTTTGGGTGGCAGCCACTTTGTATGGATTCAGCCAGTGAGGGTAGAGTCCAGCATAATCATGAATTGTCCATGGATGCTTCTGAAAGAGCAGCAGAAGGTGAGGGTACACAGAGAATCCCTGCTCCAGCCATCCAATAGACTGTATTTATTTTCCCTTAATAGATTTGATTTTGCCCAAAAATCATACTATGATTAAACTGACATGCAATAGATTTCACTGGATTATCATTTAAGAAAATGCTTGAGTATTTAATTTTCAATATGATCTGAAGTATGAAGGACTAAATAGATGCATAAGTGTCTGAATTATTTGTATGATTTTGCATGTATCCTTACACATGATAAATCAGAGCTTAAACAGCGCATTATGCACTTTCTGCAACTAACACAAAAATCAAAGTTAAGACAAATAATGATGTAAGTAAATCCCAAATACACATGCAAGCTTATATATTATGCATACCTTCCTAACATAAAACCAGGGAAAAATCCAAACACTGTATTTAAGATTTTATATCAATATTTTAATAGAATATTATTTAATAACATTAGGGCTTTCATAAAAATAATTAATCTCATATTAATTACTGAATAGCTCCGTCTTTTTTATATGAATGGAAAATTAGTTTAGAGAAATATAATTAAAATTATACTATAATGATTAAAAATAAAGTAGGAACTGCAATATTGTACAAAAATATAACTTCTTCAAATACAAACTGCTTTTCTGGCTATCTATCTCTGCTTATGTATTTTAGGGGAATCAAAAAGACGTTTGCTTAAATGACTAAATTTTTTTTGAGAAAAAAGTCTTCAAAGCAAGTCTTGCTATTATTTGACAAATATTAATCATGCTTACACAAAGGCCACTTGAGAAAAAATTTATTACAGGACACTTGTGACCAGTCATGCCATAGGAAGAGGAGAGAGCCACAGGGCTGAAATGACAGTAAGGTCTGTGTATGCAGTGCTCCTCTGGTAGTTAAATTGCTGGAATTTGACATTGATCTGAAATGGGAGCTGTTTGAAGTAGCAACTGTCAATCTCTGTAGTCAAAGGATGGCCCAAAGTTTTACTCAATCAGCCCTTTTGGCATGGCCACTCAATTTATAAAGCCCAATCCACTAAAAAAGTGATCTGTCCTCAAGAGGCACTTCAAGAAGTCTGCAGTTTGTGGATAGTGAGCAGTCATTCAGAACTATAGCTTTGACTCTTGCAAAAGTATAGCAATGCCTCATTTTAGTGACTGTACTTATTACAAGGTGAGATAAATGTGGATTGAGGTGTGAATGAATGTCTACTGCTGTTGATATTTAAAATTGATTGGATGATATTTCTCTTTGTGCATTTATTTACTCTTTCATGTACAAAAGAGTCAATATTAATTTTAGAGTACATATATGCATATAGATTTGATTGCAGTGATCTCAAGAGACATCACTTTTAATCGAGAAAAATGTGTAGCATATGTCTGGTCTTTTCTCAGGATCATGGTTATTTTCTCTAGTTCTGTTTTTCTTTATCATTATTCAGAGTTTTTGTTCAGCTGTGTAAGGGGAAATTGATAAACAAATAAAAAATGTGTAAGTGTGTAAAACTAAAAAAAAGTACTGATAATTCTATCTAAGCGATATTAAAGCTGAATCTATTGTTTGGAAGTATTTTAAAGTGAGCACATATATATATACCTATATATATATATATATATATATATATAAGTACTGACACAAGCAACTTGAAACTTCATCAATTATTTCCATTCCTTCCCAGGTACAAACACACTTGGAAAATCAGTCTCGATACCACATACAGCAGAGCCAGAGGCACCAGGTGAAGCAGTACGTGACCCTTGATACCAAGCTGTCCAGCCAGACCCTGTCGCTGTCCCACTCTCACACCATCCAGCCGGTGGGGGTGGCGTCCATCCTGCGAAGCGGACCCATGCCTCCAGTGAGCAGCAGCGGCACTGCCGAGAGCCCTGTCGCCAAGCTGCTGGCCCTTGGAGCCGAGCACGAAAATGCGGTAGGGGGAGCTGGGGAAAGGAAAGGGGAACTGGGCTTTGTCTACTTCTACAAACATGCTACATGACCCACTTGTGCTAGAAGTGGGCAAGAGATGACTTTCCTAATTTTCAAGGAGCCTTTGGTTATGGCACTTGCTTTCTGTATCGTTTTGAATCATGTGGGTTATTCCTTTGTGTGCCTGTGAATAGCTTACTGCAGGATCAAGACTTTTAGACTGCTGCCAGATAAATTGCATCTTTTTATATATGCAACGTATGTTTCTGTACATTTTCTGAATATACACTTTGCAAAAAAAAACATCATTTTTTTCAGATGGGAGTTCTTTCTGTCTAAAGGTATTAGCCTAGCTGCATAAAAAAAAGTTAAATACTGATTACCTTCAATGTATAACTGAAAAAATCACCCATTCATTTTTCAGTTAGCTGCTATATTTTTATATGGGTTACCTTGAGTAAATTGGCAAAGATATGCTAACTTTAGTGCCACCATTGATTTTAATAGAGGTGCAGCTATAATACAATATCAGATTCTTAACCAGTGTGAGATATAGGTCATTATGGCTTTTAATACTTCAACAGATTCAAAAGAGACTGTTTATTAGGTGAAAGGGGAATTCCTACAGGAATGAGAAATGGAGATGCTGTATCATGTCTTGGACTTTAATAGAACAGAAAAATCTTACAAATACACTGTGACTCATTCAAGCATTTGGATCTTACATAGCTAAGCATGAGGGAGCCCATAAAACTTCCTGGAGAGTTCACCTGGGGCCTCTCAATTCCTTCTGCATTGACAACTGACATTTTAAGTGAGGTTTATGGATTACTGGAGCTACTTTAAAATGCTAATTTAAATGGCCTTTGTGGACACCTATGTTCCCACCTCCATGCTGGCAAAGTGCAGCGTGCTGGACCTGTTCTCAGGCATTTTGGGTCTGATCAGGAGCCTGCTCTTGTACCACACTCTGTCCTGGAGAGCAAGGGAGCGCCTGGTGAGGACTGGGAGGGTGATAGATGGCGCTGGCAAGATCCTGGCAGCTTCACAATGATTTGAATAATCTCATCTCAGACTCAAGGGGATGACTGTCCCAGTGTAATTTCTTTATGTGGGTGTGCCTTGTGGTTGAGAGTAGGCTACAGTTACTTTAGTCAATAAATAAATAGTACAGAGCCAACACCCAGGTTGATGCAGTAAACTTCACTCCTTCATTTTGTTTAATTGCCAGCATTTCTTGGTATTGTTTTGGCCCTGATGGTGCTTTCCTAGATAAGTCTGGGCACAACTCCAGGCACAGTACTTCTCTGGTTTTAGAGAGGGAGAGGAATGCATGTATGAGCTGTGCTGGGCCATGTGGCCGTAAAGTCTATTGAAAGTCTTATGTCTGTGTGATACTTTCATTGCACAGGAGTGTCTACAATCCCTTCAGCTCCCAAAGGCTGTGGACAGCAGAGTTAAAAGGGACATGCTTACTATGGGATCTCTCTCAAAATTATCTTGTGAATCGAACCATAATTATCATTGAAAACTCATGTTGTACTTTGTCCAAATCTATCTATCTATCTATATATATATATATAGGCTTTCAAAGTATTCATTGTTTCATCCCAAGTAATCATTGAGCTATTCCATCTGCCTCAATAGTTTTTGGCTCAGATTATATCAAAAGTGAGACCAGAAGGCTGTCTGGAAAAGTATCCAGTGTACTACTAAACAAAAAAACCTCAACCTGCCAAAGAGAGCAGCATGTAACACTGAACTTTGAGCGCCTCATGCAGTTGCAGAACCACAGGTTCCATTCAGTCTTCCTGCACCAGTGCAGCAATGCACTGTGGATATGAGACATTTGATCAAGATGACAGGTCACAGTAACAGCTTAACAATGTACTCCTGTCATCTGATCGTGGTGCTGCAATAAGGGGTTAAAGTAGGGCTGTGGGCTGCTGTTTAAGAGAAACATGTAACTTGCTAAGCCACAACTGTTTTCACAAGAAGTAAAAAATGTGAATACTGTATAGAAGTGCTTGAATTGTTTGAATTTTAAGATATAAACTTCTGAAATTCAGTTTTATTGCTGTAATAGATATTCAATATTAATTCCTCTGTATTTTAAATATAACTTTTTTTCATTATTATTTGTAGTGATTTGTGTTAAAATATTGTTTTATCAGATGGAAGAAGTTATTGAAGACATAATCAATATGGAATCAAATTTTAATGATGAAGGGATAGGTTGTTCTGAAACTCCTTTACTAATGCAAAGAACTGTAAGTATTTTGTTGAATTTCATCTTGCTTTTTATACTAGAAAACTTCTTTGAGTGATTCAAGCACATCACAGTTCAGACACAAAAGAATACTATCAATGTACTGCTCTCCTTTCTCTTCCATTGATTGCCTTTTTGTCAATAAATGTTACAGAAAAGGGCAGCAGTGTGGTGAGACACAATTGTTTTAAGTCGTCTGAATAGCATTTGGGGTCCTAGCCTAGCAAAATGTCTGGTGCATAACCCATTGGAGTTACTAATTTCTTTGCAGTGCTAAAAATAATAAGGATAAAAAGGTCTCTGGACCCTAGAAGACCTTTTAAAACTTTGCTTAAATATCCTTCTACCTCAACTAAAAAAAAGTCAAAACTTCCCCAGGTAATAGTTTCTATGATACAGTGGTTTCTCCAGTGTCTTATCCTGAAGCAAGGCTCTAGTTCTGGATTTTCATACAGACAAGTTGCATTTAGTTGAATAATTTCAAGGACAAATAAGAGGAATGTGACTTCTTCACAAGAATTAATATAACAAACTTCAGTTTTATGATGTCTCTTTGTGAATAAATGTGAGAGAACTAACAAAGGCTATTTATGTTTCCATACATGTTACATATTTGAAGTGGAAGGATGGAGCTTGTCTGGACACAACACCACATATAGTGTTATTATTTATGAAAGTAATCCATATCAATAACTGTAGTGCACTTTACAGAAGGATTTATGTTGTCCTCTCTACCCTAGCTAATTGTCCTCAGGGTTTTAAACTGTACACCGATAAGGGCGAACTTCATCCTGATGAAGGCAGAAGATTTTCACAGGCTTTGGCAATCTATCAAATTCACGTCAGAACAGTAAGGTGCTTGCTCTTTATCGCCCTCTGGAGGAACACCTTTTTCTGACTTACACAATTTCCCTGGCTCCAAAAACACCTCAGGAAAGATCTCTACTCTTCTCTTCTGTGTTGCCCACTATACAGTCCAGCATTAATGACAATTGAAATTTCCATGAACACCTGATGCATGCCAACTACAGAACTAATGCAGCTGGACTGATTTACGCATATCTTAGTACAGAACATAGCAGAAAATGGTCCCTGGGGAGTTAATTAATATTTTGGCTCAAATTAATGTGAGGCAGGGGAGGATAATTTCAGGTATGATAGTGTGGGATGGTGATGAATTCTGGGTTTTGGGTTGAAGTCATACTCCCTCAAAACCTTTTAAAACTGGATGATGTTAATCTATGCTAATTCCAGGTTCATTAGCCTTTATCTTCAGCCTTGAAGGACATTTGTCTCTAAAATTTATCGAATACTCTACTCTTGATGAGGAAGGAAATATGCAATGTCTTTTAGACCTTGATGGTATTGTACTTGCAAAGATTTGGGACTCCTGAAGTGCCTCTGGGACAAGTAATAGTATTTGGATTTTCATTTGTGCTGAGGAAATCAGCAGGCTGCTAGGTGAGCCAGGAAGCAGCACGTGTTTCCAAATCCCCCTGTTCAATACTGTGGCAAAATAAAGCTTGCCTTCAAGAAGGCGTGCAAACTGCATCAGTGTGACGAAATTGAGTGGGGTCTCTGCTTCTTCTGTCTTCTCTTTTAGTATTGAGTACTTTAAAAATATACAAAAGAATTAGGCATATGGAGATGATCTCAGGCATTTAGCTCATGCCACTTGGTTTTATGCCATCTTTCAGGCAACATCCTAAATCTGCCAGCAAAATTTTGGTCATAAGCTGTGCAGTAGAGAAAGATGGAGACACAGGTAGAAAATATTTTTTTATATCTAGTTTTTCTTTATCACATGAAACATAATGAAATATCTTTATCTGAGCCAAACATGTATGTGTTATAAGAGTATTGGTCTAGAAGGCATCATCAAGAATGAGAGAATATCTAATTTCCCTGAGAAGGTGTGCCAGGTTTGTGCTGTACTTCAGCAAGGACCCATCGGAGCTCTGGCATCTGCACAAGGTGCTGTGCTGTGGTGGCTGACACGAACATAGAGTAAGTGGGATTGCAGGTGAGACTGAGTTGCCTCTCTCTCTGGCTGATTTTCTCGCTGTCTTTCTCTTTAAAATTATCCAGCATAATGCCTAATTATTTCTAGAATTTCTTCTGAGACTTTCCGTACCTGGGGTTGTCTTGACTTTGCAAACTGTGCAGAGCAGTCTCTGAAATTCTGAAATGGACCAACTTGGTTTTCAGAGTCTGGTAAAAGGCTCAGGCGTTTTTTCAGCAAAATCTTTTCTTCAAAAAACAAACCCATGATGCCATTTTCCTGTCTCAGTGTTCTCAATGGATAGTGGCTGAGTAGTCTTTCCACTTTTTATGGTGCAACCTGTTGTGTGTTGCAGTGAACTAATGTTTGCTTTGGTTAAATGCACCCATGTACCATTTTAATGGCACATTAAATGAAGACATTGAATTCTGTGAGACTACTCATGTGAATAATTGCTCAAAGGCTCATTGTCTGACCCTGAATTAATGAATTACAGTTATGTATTAGTAGAATCAGAGAAGTGAACACAAGAACATTCCTCCAACTCTCATTAAAATAATTACAGCTTCTGAGGAGTGGATTATCTGGCTTTTGTTGTGTTTGGATCCAAATTTATAATTTCATGAAACTGTCTGGTTTTGGGTAGTCACTTAAGAATTGCTCAAACCAGGGAATTTTCTGGCTCTGTTTCTATTGCTCTTCAGAGTACCTTAGTGGTAGAAACCTACATTTAATAAAAATTTTTTAGAAGTTCAGTTAAAATGTAAGACTAGGTCCTCCCTACATGCAAGAGGTCTTGATTCTCCTGAAAGAATTTGTAAACCAAATTATATATTTGTTCATAAAACCTAACTGAAATAAAAGCATAACTATTCTTATGAACTATAATTTAATGACAACAGATTGTTCATTATTGAGAAGGTAAGATTTAATTTAAAAAATACCCTTGAAGATGGTACCAATTTAAAGTCATTTTTCCTTGTTGTAATGATTTATTTTTATGAAATTTTTATTGACAGACAGTAGAATATTTATCTTTACAACAGAATATTTTTTCTCTAAGTATCATATTAGGAGCAACAGGTTTGTTCCTGCCCGTATAAGAATCATTTAAAAAATTGAAACAAATAATACATGAGTGAGTTTTAGAAGTGAACTACTGTCATGTATGTCAGATATAGCGACAGACATTTGAAAAAGAAATACTATTAATTTTTATCAGAAGTTCATTCTTATTCAAAATCCTTACAGTCTATTGAACATTCTGTGGTGAGTTTAAAGTATTAGTACTTCCAAATGCTCAGAACATAGGAAGTGTAGATGTTTAGGTCTGTTAATACAAAGCATATATTATACCATCATTAATAGTTTAGGGCAGGTAGTAAAAAGCTCTGCTCTACATTGCTTTTAATATCAGCAAAGAGAGAAATTTAAGAAAAGTATTAAAGCAGATGTGGACAGCATTGGTCATAGTGAAGAGGGGAAAGAGCAGTTAAAAAAATAGGATCTCTGTGCTTTTCAGGGTGTGATTTAACAGCGTATTATCTAATGACGTGATCTTTGTAATAAATGTTGTTTTGTTTTGATAATATACCTATAGAGCCCTAGGACTCACCAGTAAACCTAGTAATCTAGCAATCACAATGGAGATCTCTATGAAAACAGTTGGCAATTTACCAGTACTTTCATTCAGAAATAACTATTGCAGTCCAAGTAAGTTCAAACTGTACAACTGGGATAATGCTCTCTACTTGACATGCAGTCCACTAAAACTCATGTCAAAAGCATTAGGAGATTGACTGGCTTGGAATGAGAATAAGATGAGAGGAAGTTAATGTTCTGCAATAGCATGGGCCCCTCTTGCACACACCTGGGTGGGACCAACAAGAAAAATTATTTAATCTTGTCAACATTTTCAAGGATTCTAAGTTGTCTTTTTTTCTGGTGCACAAGAAAACATGAGATTTCAGCACTATTTTAAAAGAAGCCTGGGGACAGAGGGTCTATAGCATTTAGATGGATGGCAATGAGAGCTAAGAAGTAGTTGCAGAGCCATGCTTTAGGCAGAGCACTACTATGAAATTGGATTTCAAAAAGTTACCAGGAGAGACCCAGCTGTGGTATGTTGAATCAGTTCAGCTCCATGTTGCTGGAGTAGTCAATACTGAATGACTAAACTAAATGGAACAGTTCCTTTCAGATTGCTTGTAAAAAAAATTGAAAGCTTCTTCATGGAAAACATTTTCATCGATTTTTTTTTCTATGTCCAGTACCAAATAAAGCCAAGAAAAAAAGGTTTCCGTGTTGATGTAGGAAGAAAGTATTTACTATGAGAGTGGTGAGACACTGGAACAGGTTGCCCAGGGAAGTTGTGAACACCCCAACCCTGGCATTTTCAAGGCCAGGTTGGATAAGGCCTCGAGCAACCTGGTTTGGTGGGAGGTGTCCCTACCCATGGCAGGGAGGGTTGGGACTAGATGGTCTTTAAGGTCCATACCAACCCATTAACATTCTATGAAACTATGATTTATTTGTAATATTTAAGAAAGTTTTTCTTTAACTATCCCCTAGAATGACCTTAGCAGCAAGAATGTTGAGAAAAGAAGAATTAAAGCACTACCAAAGAAAGGAACCCAAAGCACCTGAGCATGCTGGAAGTCAGGAGCTGTGAGATGTGGAAACAGCTGGGCAGGGGAAAGGTGGCAATACTCTGTAAAGGCAATGCCTTGCCATAGGTCACCTCTTCAGGGACCTTCTGAGGCTTCACTGCTTCACTTTCATGACTTCATTCCATACACTCATGGTTCACTATTTTACCAAGATTGGGAGTTACTGTCTGTTTCCGGTCTGCTTGGGAGTAAAGTCAGTGGGATTGCTTCACTTCTGCCACTCCTGCAGGAAAAGAGCTTGTGGAGAAAATCCTCAGTTGCTGCATAGCTTGCTTGTATTTGTTTTGCTCCTTTGGCATTTGGAAAAAATCTTGTCTTGTACAGGTACGG